ATTTATATAAAAATATATATACACACACTATTCTATTCTATATACTATTATATTCTTACCATTCTTTGATGCCTCAATGTGTCTGTCATTTTCTGGTTTGCCTGTGAGAGCACTGATCAGCTGAAGCTTCTCTCTTAGCTTTGATACCTGAGAATCTCCAGTTCCCGTTTCCTGAATATGTAGAAAAAAATGTTCTTATCGAATACCCCTTCAGTAGATAGAGAAGATCAGGAAAAAAAGTAATTTAAAATATATAAGTACTTCTGAGTGACTTGGAGGTCTCCAGGTTAATCCAGTTTAAAATTATAAACAAGATTTTAAAATTTTTCTAAAAAAATCAACCTATGGAAAGATGTAAGGAACAAATTCACATGATCTGTAATAAAGCAATAGAATCAGTATCTCAACCTGAAAAGTAAGCAGCTATTTTGCAGATACCAATATCAAAAGAATCAGACATTTAATTCCGTATTTCTTACATAAATGAGCAAGACTCTGAAAAATCGTAATATAAATCAGTCAAACATACTTGAAGCGAGCATTTATACATTCATTAAAATTGCATAATTGTTTTAGATGTTTGTCTGCAGTACTGACTACCTTAGTGGTGGAGTCATTATATTGCCATCAAAGTAAGACCACCACATTTTTTTAACCTGGAGCTCCTTTGCTCTTTTTATGAGCAGGTTCCAGATTATAGATTGAGTTCACATCAATCCAAGCTTAGAACTGACAGTGTAGCCAGTTCACTCACCTGCCTTCTTTCCAGAAGATGTAAACTAGTTATCCCCAGCCCACAATTTGGCCATTCAGTTGGTCTGTTAAACTCGCTCACAGCCAGTCATCAGATCATTACCGAGAGGCTGCTTTCATAAATTCCTAGACTCCACCTGTGCAAAGTTTCTTTAAGTCAACCCAATAAAGTTTTTAAACAGGAGTAAATGCTGTAACTCCCTTTGCAGTGTGAACCCACAGTAGTTGGGCTAGCTTTGCTGAGTGCATGGCAATGGGTATTCAAATGAGTTGGCTGCCAGAGTCCTCCGTTCCACTGGACCATGGTCTGAACATCCCAAGATTCTTTCAGCTGCACAGAAGGATATTATAGCAGCTCTGCTATGTCATCCCATATGTAGTCAGAATGGGAAGACTTCCAACTACTGCAACTTTTCTTCCATCTTGACTTCCTGTTCCCAATATGGGGTGGGGATAAGCTGTCCTTCAACTCTGGACTTTCTTTTAAAAGAAACTGGATCAGATTAGCTTGCTTGCAGATCTTTCCTCAATTAAGTCTCATTTAAAGCATGATTATAAAGACAATGACATACAGTGAATTTGTATTTCCTTACTTTACCTTCAGTTCTTTATTTGAATGAGTTTCATTATCTAGCTGATCTTCATTTTCCACTTTTTGAGAGGTAGTTGCATCATTCCCCTAAAGGAAAAATGGAGAAGAGCCAAGTTTATTCGTGTACTTAACTACTTTCTACAATAGTTTCTTTCCTTCGAATTTGGAACATAGGAAGCAGGAAAAAAAAAAAAAAACAGGACAAACACATGCTAGAATAAACATAAAAACAGTAGATTAAGTAATTTACTACAGCAACATCAGCATGTTCCTTATTGCTAAACATACAGAGCATGTTCTCAGAGACTGGCCCCAGTATGGCATACAGAAAGCACTGGAAGGATTTATAACATATTTAGGTTTTGGAGGGGGGGGCTGGGGGTTAGCATTAAGCACCACTGAACAATCCAAAGGCCCACCTAGCTCCTCAGTGGTCTTAACAGACCCCTTACATGCCAGAGTGCCTTCCTAAAACATAGTTCTTTAACTATGGGTTAAAGAACAGGGTTTGTGAACCCTGTTCCATTAAGCAGTCACCCAAGTCTTAAATGTCACACCATTTCAGACATTTTTCTGTAGATTCTGCAGGGAAGAAATTACTACTTCAGAGATAGTCTTAATGTTGGTTATCTGTTCAGAAATAAGGAACAAATTGCATCCTTTTAAAATGAAATTCTAAGTGTCTCAGGTTTCATTCTGACGTGTTCTTTAGTTAGGTTTGAAAAGCTGTACCCATAGCATATTTCTATATGCTATCTTTCATATCTTATCTATATGCTATACTTTCTAGTATTGAAACTACTAGCCTAAGTAGACACTCTTAGTCATTAAATACTTACCACACCGGCAGACAAGTTCTCTCTCTTGATCAGATTATTCACAGAAAGGGGAGAGTTTTCTAACAGCATGACTCTCTGGCTAAGGTTACCAATGACTGAATCCACATTTAGAAGCTTGATGTCATTGAACTTTTGGTACACCATTACAGTATTATTTAGCTCCTCCAAAGCTGCATGCAGCGACTGGCTTTCCTGAAATATAAAATGAGAACGTGTCTGTTTACTCAGCCTCTGCAACACTCTTGCTATTAACAAGATGGTGAATAACCCAGTTTAACCAGGCAGACTTCAGACTGGCTTTCCACCGACACTGCTGAAAACATCCAGCTGGAAACTTCCAGAAAGTTATTCCAGCTTTCAAAGTTTCAAACTGAGATTTTCCTCAGGGCTAACCTCTTTGTTGCTACTGTAATCACTTCAGCTGTGCCAGCAAACACAGAGAGCCTATTCATCTAATTTTCCAGGGCAAGCTTAGTAACTACACCAACGATTTTCCCAAGAAACTATGTACTAGGCATATTTATACAGAAGATTCATTTTTGAGGAAGACGTCAAATGTATTAAATGTAAATAAATGCAGTTATTCTATTGCAAGCCATTCAGCTAAACACCCACACATTATCTTTCGTTTGTTGCTGAATCCCTGCTTTCCACACCTCATTACATTGAGGGTGACTCAATACATGCCACTCCCAAATTTGCTCAGATTGGCAAGTACCATAAAAATCCATTTGATGAAAAGCCTTTAACTCATTTCTGTTTATGTGAGCAAAGTACACCTATAATATGTTTGATATGCCTCAGTCTTTTTACTCCTCACCCAGTTACAATATAAAAACTACTCTGAGTAGGATTTGCACATACACAGGAACAAAATACAGAAAAATTATCTTATATTTCATTTTGAAAGATGCTAGCTGTATTGTTTTGATTAAAAAAAACCATACTTTTTCGTACAGTACATTACTGCAAAACACACAAAAAAGTTAAATACCAGTGACACTTGTACCAATATTCCTTATGGGAGGGAGAGGAAAAATACCTGTCTGCAATTTTCTGTCTGGTTTTGCTCAATCCTTGGCACAACAGTGGAGGAAAGTGAAGGTATCTGTTTTAATTCCTTCTAAGGAAAGAAGTAGAAAATTATGTTACCGAAAACCTGTAAAAACAATACTAAGCTGTTAATAACTGCAAGGCTGTAGCTAAGGATGTTTTGCTACAGTTATAGTCACTCATGTCTGTTGTGCATGCAGTATTTTAACTAGGCTAACACAGAGTTTTCTCTTTCAAACACATAAGGTCCACATTTATTTTAATTAAACCCCCCAAGTTAGCTCTTCTCCCTTTAATGAAGTATTATGATACACATTTCACTGCTACCATATACAGTCATATCTGCATGTTTTCATTCACTGACTGAATCAAGTTTTTTTGTAAACATGTCTAATTAATAAGAATACTTGCAGATAAAATCTAAAAGTAATGCTGTATTGCCATTTAGCTAAAAAACTTTATTGTCTCAGTTAGCCCCAAGTCACAGGTCAGTATAAATACAGTGAGTAGTTTGTGGTAAAGACGGTCAGTAATTTCACCCTTATATGCAGCCTTAACTCAAACAACAAACAGTATTTCAACGCTTTCACCATATCCAGTCTCTAAGACAGTGCCATGCAGTAACCTGCATCACACAGAGCAGAGATTCCCAAGGCTCCACATCTGTGTAGTAGGAAGCAAAAATCTGCAGGATAGGAAATATAAAAGCAGCCAACAATTCTGGCTACAGAAAAAATACATGCTTGACACCATACAGGAGATGCCACAGAGGGATTACAAGATTAGCAGTATATTAATATACCAACCAGCACCTACTAAAACTTCAAAAGTATTTCAAAGGCTTAAGGCAAAACTCCACACAGTTCTTAAACTTGCTTCATATTAGGCAGGTAACTGTTAAAACAGTGTCAAATCAGTACATTTTCTTACCACATCATTCTGGAGTATTTCTATCGATTTCTTGTATTCTTCAATAGCTGTCTGTATATTTTCAACATCATGAGAAACACTGGTAAGCGTGCTACCTATGTTTGCCACAGTCTGGAATAAAGAAAATGACAAACATCTCAGCCTTCCTCAAACTGCACTGTCCCAAAGTTTCAATCTGCTAAACACAATGTTTTGCTAATGAAACTGCAGGCAGACTGCCACAAAAATATGCACATGAATTTGTAAGATTCAGAACTTCCATTGCAGACAAAACTGCAAATTATACCCATCACATCTCCAGGCCAATAAACAAAGACATGCTCTACACCAGGAGAGCTTAAGCTACTAACCAAAATTATGGGTTTGCTACTCCCACTCCCAAAACAATACAAATGTTCTGGCATTAATTAAAAAGAAATCCTGATATGAAGACATCTTACCTCCTCTCTACATGGAGTATTTGTATTGAATAACAAGGATGCTGACACATCCTGCCTTAATTGTCTTTCAGGGCTACCCATCACACACATCATTCACTGCAAAACTAGTCTGACAAAGGTTGCAGATTAGATTTTCAAGCAAGTATTGCTTTTTTTTTTTTAAATGAAAGAATAGCTCTGAAGCACCAGGAAAGCCCCTGTGAATTCTGCAGGTACAGCCAGTGTGCTGTGACAGCTACCTTTGCTGACTACTCCCGACTGATCCTTCCCATGCCTTCACCTATCTGAACTCCTCCTACTCCCAGCTCTAACTTCAGAAAGAAACTATTCTGTAAAGCTGCACTGGTGTTTTAGCAGCTGACAGCATAGCCCCTATCAGACTCAAACTGTCAGCTACAACATCCACAAACACTAGCAGAAGTTACGGGACAGAGCATGCCTCTATGCTTCTCATTATATTTTTAATACTTTCTTCAGTCATTAAAACAAACGGAACTCATGTAAAAATCCCCCTTTCCTATGACCCTGTTATGCTCATAAGCTCAATGGCACTGCAGTGACCCTCTAGCTACCCAGACTATATTCAAACAATATCCACACAAATCTTCCTCCAGCTCTTCATTTTGCAAGTCTGAACACAAGTTCCGTAAGCAATCTCTCTTCCCTGAGGACCTCAGGACACCTTTAGCACCTTTCATCAGTCTGAACCAAAGCCCCTGTCCAAGAGGAACTCCCTCAGTAATCCTTCAGGAATCCACCAGCAGCAGGCAGGTCCCCATTTTCAGTACAACAGTATCTACAGGGGAAAAGGCTTAAGAAAACCAAAATCCTATTCTAAGAATAGCAGCCTTTTCTTCCAAGAAAGGCAGGTAATTCCAAAGACAGCTGAATGCAATGGACAGCTGAGCAGGAGATTTTTCACCAGGGCTATCAAAAGCCAGGCTATACCCACTGAAGTCCTCCTGTGTGACAGGAGGTAATGCAGCATGTACACAGGGGTCAAAAAGAAGTCCAAGTCTTGAAACCTGTCACTCTTCATTAACATGGCACTTACAAACCATTAAAACTATTGTATTTAAACCCTCAGACTGTTTTTCTACACTCACCACCTCGCAACATACCTCCTTGAAGGATTCCAGCTCTGTTTTTATTATATCAGCCTTCCAAAACAGAAATGCAAGCAAGATGGCGTCAAGAGAGCAGCAGAAACAGACACCACATCTAACACCTTAATTAGGCTCAACAGCAGAGACTGAAAGTATTCAAATGTTCCCAAGATCCTTTATTTTCATGAAGCGTGACCAAGGATGGACTTATTTCAACATGAAAAAGCCTTGCTGTTCAGCAGATCGCAGCAAGCTGAAACCTGTTGGCCCTAACACTTTGTCATGTAGTGTACTGAAGGGAGTAAGAGGACATCAAGGTTTTGCTATATTTACGAAGCAGGTGCAGGCTCCAGACTCTAGGTACTGCCTTAACACTTACTTCTGATATGACACAGTGAATGAAAATCCCACATGCTCATAACAGCAAATTAGAAGCTTAGGAAATAACTTTGTACTCCTCCCAGAAAAAAGAAATCCTAGCAGCCTGATCAGCCAAACCACCCTAATTGCTTTGCATATGACTAGCTTGTTGGTTATACATTCATTTTGTAGGGATAGGAAGTGAGAGGTGGAAACCCACAAAAGCCACAAAGACAACTGGACTGACATTAGGTGTTAGCCCAATATAAATGTCTATTGCTAAACAAACAGAACTGCCATGGAAAAGCTAGAGACATTTCAACAAGCCCTTCTTTTTACCAAAACAAACAGAACAGTTCTTCATTAAAGAACGCTCAGCCAAGGCACACGGTAAGACACTGTATTAACCGGTAAGACACTGTATTAACAGAAGTCACTTTAGAAGTAAGCCTGTGTTACCCAGTAGGTCCCATCTTCCAAGGCATTGCCAGAAAACCATCCCAGTGCAATTCACATTTTGCTGTGCATGTACTGAACACCAAGAAAGCTCCCATGCTAATGTTCCATGCATACTGCTCCCAAGTTAGACTCCTACCCGCCCCAAAACTCTAAATGCAGAGCTAGATGTAGAACTATATACTGCTCAAGATGAGGAAGTTTTCCAGAAAGCAATCCATCTTCTTTTCCAATTAAAAAAAGCTAAACAAACCACCTATTTGCAAGCAGAGTTGTAAAACTGCAGACAGACTTTTGGCAAGTGTCTTAAATGATATCAGGATTAGCAACCTGGAGGAAAGCAACCAGAAAGATCATCTCCAAAGTAAAGAAGTGATAACATAATACAACCAGAAACAAAACGCTTCTCCAGAAAGGGGCAACCAAGGCCTTAGAATTTTTTATCTGCTATGCATTATCATAGGACCATACAAGGTCAAGTATATGAAGAAAAACAAGATGGAGAAGCAAATATTCCTCACATGGAATTAAGGCAGTAACTCCTGTTGTCACTCCTGTCCCCAAGAGCTCAGCTGCAGCTTAGCTGCACAGAACACGTTTAGCAATAGTCACATTTACAGTACTTGCCTTCTGAAGTTTCTCTACTGTGAGAGGAAGAGAAATCAGATCAGAAGCAGACTTTATGTTGTTTTTGAGATGATTTACTGTTGAGGTCAATAGTGATATCTAAAAACAAATATTTAGAATTAGCCAACATAATCCTGATTCTGACCTTCCCCAATACTAATGACTTAATTTGTAACATTAAAACACAAGGCAAGACAAAAATATATACATACACACAAAAAACCCCTGACTCTAGGTTTTAAGTCCTGCCTAGGCTACATGAAAAATATTCTGCCTCTTGCAACAGACACAAGTTTTTTTTTTTTTTCAAACTGAATGAAAGACATAGAAGCCCCTTCTTTTCAATAATGTACCCTCTGCCCATTTTACATTAATCCCCTGTTGCCCAAAAAAGTTTTTAAAATTTAAAAAATTGTGCAAGAAGCCTTCACGTGGAGAAAACAGTCATCTACTTCTGTATTTAGCAATCAAACCTGCCTGGCAAAACCCAGCAAAGGCATGCAACCTCTCCAGCTGAGTGACAGGCAAAGAAGCTGCACGTATCACCCAAACCTTCTGCTACAGAACTGTGACAATCTAGGTACAGCAGGTTAGATCCCTTTCTGTCAAATGTTTGAACCAGAAGGCAAGTTATTCAATGGGTCTACAGGATTATTGATTCATTCCAATTGAGAGGCTGTCAAATAAATTAAAAACAACCACATGCTGGTCATTCATTTCTAACACTATCACTTTAAGATCAGTTGGTAGCCATCAGTAGTCAAAATGAAGAAAAGTAATTTCTTCTCACATTTGACAACATAAAAGCAGAGCTGATAAAACCCACTTTCTTCTGGTTAAAAACAAAAAGTTGTTTCACAAGCTGAGGAAATGCACAAGATCCTAATTTTACATTAGGCCAACACTGATCAGCTGGTGTGCAGAGTCTCTCGTTCCACAGCTGTGAATATTGGCTGAAGTAATTCCCAGCAGTGCATCCTAACAATTTATGGGAAAAAAAAATAACAGTAACTAAATTTTGATCTCCAGAATAGCTGGCTCAGACTGTAACAAGACCCTGAAGTAACTTGAGGGCCTGCAAGAACCATGTGCAAGTTTATTTAACATCCAGGTGCAGATGATAGCATATTAAAAGTCCAATGAAGCACCTAAATATCTGTGGATAATGCATATTATCAGATGCCAAGGAAAGCATGTCAAATTTTCAAATATATTTATGTGCCCCATTAAGCACTTAACCACTGCACAGGACTGAAGAAAAACCAACCTGAGCAGGCACCTCAGTACTCTTAAATTCAATGCAAAGCACCAGTGTCAGGGAGGATCCCCACACACACATCTTGATACCACTAACTGTGAGCAGTTCTGAACTTTTACCCTCCCAGGTAAGAATTTCACTAAAAGCCTTGCTCTGGATGCTTTGTTTTGAAGCATGAGCCAATACATCAGCTGAGGAAAGAGCTTTCTGTTAAGTGGCTTAGTTCTAGCCATGTAAACAGAGCTAAGATTTACACCAGCTCAGATTCCAAGTGTGTACTAGCAGATTTTATATTCCCAAGACACCAGTACTTCACTTGTAGCAACATGGACTTGTACCGATTCGGGTAACCTCTTTCCATGCTCGTGAAGTGTTTGCAGACACTCTCAGAAACTTGAAATGTCAAATCTCTCATCATAAACATCACAATTATTTGGCAGGAAAAAGAAGAACCGCACAGTTCTCAGGTTCTTTTAAATTCTGCCTGAAGTCTTTCCACCAATTCTGTAAATTCTCCTCTTTGAGCATCCAGTTGGACTGATCGTAACCTTTTTTTGCTTGTTTAATAATGAGGCTTATACTCCATTTTAACATCTAGAATAAAAGTTTAAGCATATGGTTATGGAAGTCCCTAGAGAAAAAGCTCAGTACTGCACTTGAAATTAATTTCTGTAAAAATAAATTTAAATTTAATATTTTGTTATTTTTCAAAACCAAGCACTGATTCTCCTCACCTGTTTATTGATCTCTGTGATATTTATCCAAATTTTGTTTAGTCCCAGTTCTCCAGTTTCAATTTGTTCTAGTTGCTTTTGTTTCTGCACTAAATCTTCATTCAGTTTAGGAATTTCTTGAAATGATGTCTTTTGATTAGATTCCACTAAAAAAAAAAAGAAAATAATTAAATTTGTTTTCAAAAAAACCCACAAAAGTCCACGTAAACAATGCTGAAAGGTAAAAGACAAATTACAAGCAACATCTACAGCAGTGAGAGGCAGCAATAACAGTTTCTACATATGGGTTTACTGCCAGTTCAGAATTAAGTGTTTGTTCAGAATCACAGTTCTTCTTTGTTTTAAGAGTACTAATGTCTGCAGAGAGAATCCAGAGAGACCATACTAAATTTAACACTTTGCAACAGCACTGTCATTCTGGCAAGCCTCGTCAGGTCTTTATTTAGTGCATTTATTTTACATTACTTTCACAGGGGGACATGAAATAGTAATGGGACTGTAAATAAGAACTGCCAACAGCCAGGGCAAAGGAGGCATGTGAAATGAACCTCAGTGTCCTTTTCAAGCCTGCAAAGGGGCTGCTGACGATGAAGTGAATTCCAAAGAGATTAACGTGATTACAGTTGTTCCATGTGACGGAAAGACAACTGAAAAAAAAAATATATAAGCTTACACACTAACGTCTCTTGGTAAACAAATCAGTAAACAAGGTCCTTGGAAATAAAGTCAGTTATTACTGCAATTAATACCACAGGAAGGAGGAAGCATGCAGCTCAAACCAATTCAAGTGAGGCTCAGAAATGCTGCTCTTCCAGGTCTACAGTGACTAAGCTGTTCAGCTGCAAGTGCTATTAAGCAATCCTAAATCCCTAGGTTTGGGAAACAAGTAAGTAAAGGTTTTGAGATGGAGATGACGGAGTTCTCCAAAACCTGCACCTCCACCCTGTAACAAAGCACTGGAATGCTCCAGAACAAATCACCATCATTCAGACCACAGACTGCCAAGACCAGTGGGACCTACAAGGTATGTAGCTGGCAGCTCCCACAATAAATTTCCTTGTGTGACTCATCCAGTCAAAAGGAGAAACCTTCAGGACTGCTTCATGCCCATGGTGTGGATGCCCAAAACCACACACCTGGAAAGCTGTGCATCTTCAAAAACCCACTTCGCTTTTCTTGAAGCAAGTCCTAAAAGTAATTTCTAGGTACAGAGCAATCTGCACTGATCACTCAAGATGCAAACAACACTTTTGGTTAAGTAAGACCTTGAGAGGCGTATTTTAGCCAAAACAGACTGAGCGCTGTACGTTTGACCCAAGCAGTTCACGCTGAATCTGATGTTTCAGAGGCTCTCGTAGAAAAATTACTGTTTTGCCATTCTCACCATGTACAGTGAGACTGCACTTAAGAGCTTTTTGCAGTGCTAGGAAGGTTAAGTACAATATGCATTCATAGCATCATTACTAACAACTGAAGGGACACACCACAATGACTTCCCCTTACCCTCTACGTACTAAAGATGCAAAGAGGTCTTGTTTTTAAAAAGCTCCCATACCATACTCAGTTTGGTCAAAGGGTCGATGAAGATTAACAAATACTGCCAAGGGAATTTGCTCTTCTGGGGAAAAAAGTCTGGATGAAGCTTCAGAGGAGGAAGATTCTTTTTCCAAACCTGCTGCAGGACAGACTAAGCCCTTGCCTTTGTTTCTCCATCCACCCATCCATATGCAAACAACAAAATTTGAGCAAGAACAGGTCAATGTGAGCAAGACAAAACATTCAGAAGATATGAAGAAAAAACACAATACTGAAGCAACATTTAACTTGCAGTAACACCACAGAAAGTATTAGAGGTTTTTAAAAGAGCTTGAGACAAGAATGTTGTTTCCCATTTATTTTGGGGGAGAAAAGCATCAGAATCCCTTAGACTGCTTTTATGGGGCTGATCAGAACTTTTTCTTTTTGAAAAGCAGTCCTCTAAAGCCTCAAGTCAGGAATTTTAGGAATGTATGTACAAGCAACTACAGGCCCACCTAGTCCAGCATCCCTGCTCCTCAGGAGATACAGAGCAGGCAAGAATATACAACACTTGCCTTAGGTTCGCCCAGCCTGTGTGTGGTTCTGGCTCAGAGGACTCCTCAAGTCAGGGGCAGTTTGTCTACTCAGCACTTTCATGCTTTGAATAAGCAGAAAGGCAACTAAAGCTCTTCATACTGCCCAAAGCAAATCTGAAATATATAGTTACATTTACACTTACTAGTTCGAAACTTCTCCTTTATTGCATCCAGATCCTCCTTGAGAGCCACCTGCATCCAGACTAAGCCAACGCACGCTACCACGCAAGCGGCAAGAATGACAAACGCACATAACGGGTAACAGAATTTGCAGCATCGTAGATAGTCTCCCCTGGGTACAAGATAAAGAACAGGTTGTGACTATTCAACAGTACCTAAAAAAGTTTTATTTTAAATGTCGATCTATCAAAGGGACAGCGCTGGAACAGCATATATGTGTTTTGGCTTATAATTGCTAATGAAGAGCTTTTCCATGAATAAATAAGAATATACAGTGAGATCAGGGCTATTACTTTCTCTTCAGTTCGTCATCCTCAGGAGGCACATTTAGTGTATTTAAGAGCAGCTGTCAGTTTTCCCTTAGTAAAATTCCCTGCTCTGCTCACAGACTTACGTTAGGAACATCTGCTCGATAGCTTGGAAAGCAAGTTTCCAGAAAGGGTATTAACTGTAATGCTACAACAAGAACTTCCAGATTATCCTAAACTGCGAAAGCCTAAACTTCTCTGCGACATGCCTACTTTTAGTTATCCTTAGAAGCCCATTAATAACGTAGTTACTTAACTGAGAAGTTTATTTATTGGAAAAAGAACATTGTGTCCACAACAAACCCAGCACTGCGTCAGCTCGCAGATATGGGATTGTGCCACGCTGAAAACACGGGGATAACTGTGCTCAGCATTTCACCCAGCTGCTCCCGAGCTGCTCTACAGACTTGGGCTGCGGTGAGCATAGAACAGAAGAAGAAAAAAAAAAAAACAACAGAAAACAAGAAGAATAAAGCCAGAGGACGGGTCAGATCTACTTCTACCCCGAGCCAGACGACCTGTTGGACTAGACACACTTAGGATAGCTTCGGGTCTTTCCAGGAAGCCCCCCGCGCCCCACAAGCCCGACACCCGCGAAGCTGACCGGCTGAGAGCAACGCAGCCGCCTCCA